TTATCCTCTTCATGTCTTTCCGATTTACCTTCTCTTTTTATCCTCTTCATGTCTTTCCGATTTTCCATCGTCATTGACAAAATTACCTGCTTTTAAATGTTTTCTCTTTTTTTTTGTTTAGATTTGCCGAAAAAATTTATTGGAATCGATTTATTGGAAAAATTCAGTGTTTGAAAAAAAACTCCGTTTCAAGTTTTGTAATCTCAAGTAACATAAATTGTAAAATGATTGGCCGATTTTAAGTTCAGGAAAACTCAAGTACAGTAACATACAACATTGATAAACTTTCCTTATGTACAATACAAGTGAATAAGATATTCAAAAACATATATTCAATTGATTATCAGCCATTTTGACCTATTTCAGGAGTTTGGAGCTCGGTTGTCAAGTGTGGAATCACTTTGAAAACTTTGGAATTCCTAGTTTTCAGATATTTCCAAATTTCCCAACGTTACCTGTTTTTCATATTTTCAGTACAAAAACAAATCGAAAAAGGTGTTTCTCAGAAACTTAAAAATATCTTTTAAACTTGGAATTTTCAAAAATTCTGTGAATGCAAATATTGTAATCTAGGCTTGTTTTATAACCTTCAATATTTTCAAAATGATAGGAAACTTGATAGCCAAGCTTCAGACTTCTGGAAATGGTCGGAAATCAACTGAGAAATACGTTAATGGTACTGGATCTCAGTTGAATGAATTTTCACAATAAAGTTGTCAACTACGAAAATGAAGCTTTATTTCTAAAAAAAAAAATTTAACTAACTTTCAAAAAAAAATTGTCATTTAAAATTTTGTTGAAGTCGATTACTATAATTTCTGATTGTGAGATAATGATTCAGTTCAAATCGTACCTTTTTTATAGCTTTCATAGCTCTAGATATCTTTAAAGTTAACAAATTCGAACTCATTAAAATTGATAAATCCAGAGAAGCTAGAATGTCTAGCTTCCTGCAAACCGTAAGATCACATTGTGTATAGTTTACTAATCCCTCCAGGCGCCACCACCAGCTGCTTCGATCACATACAAAAAATCATTTTTTCATTCTCTCTCACATGTCAGCCATTTTTTCATGTGTGTACCTATGTGCCACTTCACGCTTTTCCCCCTCTCTTGCCACGCTTTTTTTCCCTATGTATCCGATTTTTCCGCGCGGAAAATTCTCAAGAAGTTTTATTATAAGAGAGGAAATGAATTGACAAGAAGGTCAAGTAACTTTTTTTACTAACTTCTTTGCAACTGTTCTTCATTACAAACTGTTTGCTTTCTCTAGAAATCTCTTTGGAGAAACTAGATGTTCTCTCCTACCACTTCTTGTTGTTTTTGATCTACTTCCGAGAGTATCTCGAGTGTTAAGAAAGGTGTTACTACTTGTCCTACTATACTTTTTTCTTGATTCTCAAGAATCATAAAGATACATTCAAGGGAAGCTATGAAGTCATTCTGTGTTGTATCTACCCCAAGCTAGTAATATTCGAAAAGAGTGAAAAGTTAGGTGAGAAGATTTTGAAACCGCAATTTTTATCTGCATGATTTCGAGAGTTTCGAATTTCAATTTTGATCGGTTTACTAGGACCAGAAAATGAGCATTTCATAGTACGGTAAAATTTTGAAAAATGAGAACCTAGAAAAAACAAGAAAGCTAAAAAATTCAGAATAATAAGTTAATTTTAAAACAGCAAGTTTTAAAAGAGTATCTCTTCTCTAGATATTTATGTTTTTCAAGTTCTCAACTTTTTACTTTTTGATATATTCGAATTTATATAATTTATAGAAACTGGTAATTTTCAAATAGAATTTCAGTATTGGAAATTTTGAAAAAATTAATTTCTTGTTCTTGAGACGAAAAACAGTAAAAATTTGAGAAAAAAATTTTAGCGGTAAAAAAATCACCAACATTTTTGACTACCGTAGGCGGCAACCTTTGGTATTTTTCTCAGCTCCGCTTTTTATGATAAATTTTCTCGAATGATCAAAAATCTTTAAGCGGTTTTAGCGTTATTTTTATTTTGAAACAGTAAATTTTTGAAACAGTAATTCCTTCGTATTTTCAAATTTTATCGCGCACATATTATTTTTGTGGCATCGATTGTTGCTCCTGCTTGAAGCAGTGATTTTTTTCAACTAACAAAAATATTGGAATTTAGAAAACAAAATATTGACGAAATGGAAATCGAATTTTTTTCGTAATCAGGAAACTCTTTTAGTTGATTTGAAAAAGCCTACCACATGTTTAATGATCAATATTTTTCAATGTACTCAAATTTATAGAACTCATCTGAAACAGTGATTTTTTTGTGTTTTTTAAATATGCTTGGAAATTCTCGTTCATTTATTTTATATTGAAAATCGGTTTTGAAAGAAAGGTCCTAGCAGACAATAACTAACTGAATGGTAAATTAACCAATTTTGAAGCATTAATTTTCTATTTCAAATTTTTTTGGTTGCATGTCTCCTGCTAATTTAATCTTTTTCAATTCTGAGAAATAGATACCACAAACGAAACGAATGATCTCAAAATTTTGAGAGGCTTCTATTTTTTTTTTAAACAGTTGAAAATTTCTGTTGAAAACATGGATTCGAATATTACGTTTCTGTTTAATGAAATTTCGATTCATAAAAGTTTTTTTTCCGGATTTTCATTCAGATCAAGAATTCCCACTACTCTGCACGATGTTTCTCCCAGTTTTTATTCATCAGAAATTCTGGAAAACCTAGAATATTCAAGATTTTATAATTTTTTCGAAATTTCAAGAAATATCGAAAAATAAAAAAACAGGTTTTAAGAAAGGATGTTATGAAAATTGAAAAATTCAAAATTACAAAAATTCAAATATCCAGGGTTATTAGAAAATTCTGACTTTTTCATAAATCCAAAAGTAGACAAAACCAAGAAAATCCTAAAAATCATCGAGTTTAGAGTTTTAGAATTTCAAAAGTTTTAGAAAGAAAATGAAACTCAACTATTGACGGCAATTTTGAATAATCCCTAAATACTGAGATTCGATTGCCACACCGATCAACATTTTTTAATGCCGCCCATTTTATATAATTAATACGAAAGTGCGATTTTTGAATTTTTTTTTGAAAATCTGCGTTTACTTATTATATGTTGAAATTCGGTTTCCCAAAAATGTCGAATCTAAACATAATATAACTAATAACAGAAAATAACTAATTCAATCGGAAATGAACCAATTTTGAAGCAGCACATTTCCATTTCAATTTTTTTTAAACGTTTTGTGACATGCATGACACCCTGCTAATCTAACATCATTTACAATTTTAAATGTTTAGTGACTTCTATAATTTATGAAACAGTTAAAAATATTTCTAGGGGAATCATGGATTTGAATTTTGAATTCTATTTCTCTGCAATTATGATTCAGAAAACTTTTCTCCCGCTTTTTCACCTCTAGATTAAGAATCCCTAATACTCTGAATGTTGTTTCATCTCTTCTTCTTCTTCTTTTCCCTCCCCATTCGCTTTTTGTGTCCTCTCGATAAAAGTGTGAAAAGGGGTGTCCATCCTTACAAATTTATTTGATTTGCTCTTTTCGATCCGATAACAGTCTATCAATTTCCGCTTTCTTTTCCTTCCCTCATCTACTCCAAGTGTCTTTGTCCATTTTTTAGAATCCATCCAGTCTCTATATTTATTTTTTGTTTCATTTTTCCTTCCCAATTTTTTTTCCACGGAAGGCAAAAATGAGTCATTTGTATATTCAAAAAGGAAGGACACAACCTGAAAATTCTGTTCCTAAATGCAAAATCAAAATGTGTTCGTAGTCAAACATTCGCCCTCCTTTCCACCCCTCCTATTCCATTCCATGTTTGTACATACACGCATTTTCACCATGCCTCCCTCTCTGTCTGCATCTCTCCAATCAACACACTCTCTCTTCCGCTTTGGTGGGAGCCACCTTTCCATGCATTTTAATCCGGAGGGCCCAATCCACATAAAATTGGCATTTTGCAAAAAATGAGATTTTTTCATGTTTCAAGAATTTTCGAATATCGAAAAATATTTCTTATAGTTTTTCTTTGAAACCGAAAAAAAATTCTGAAAATTGATAATATTCACCCAGAAAATTTAAATTTACAGGAGATTAAATTGTTCATTGGAATTTGGTTTCAAATGATTTTTGATATCTCTAATAGCAGCTGATAACACAAGTAACACAAGTTTTTTTTTGGAACCGAAAAAAAAATTGTTGGTCAGTTTCAACATTTCCAATCTGTCATTTCAGATTTGCAGATTTAATTCAAAATTTGTTTTCCTCTCCTTCACTAGTCAACATCCCCTACAAAAACATTTCACCTGCACAAATCTTGGAGTCAAAATTTTCTCATTTCCTCTCTACACCTCTATGTACATATTGCGAATCATTACCCCCTTCTTTCAATAATAATAATAATAATCAAATCACCACCGAATGAACACACACACATAAATTTGATTTTCCTCTTCTACTCCTTCTTCTTCTACTCCATAATTCAGTGTTGCGTTGTCTACATTGAAAGTGAACACCCTCCCAAAACCGAAAGTGACGGCTTAGCCCTTTCCCCTTCGAAGGGGATCAACAGGTGCCCCCTTTCTGGGTCTTTAGTCTTTGCTAGTTTGTATTTATGTGGTAAAAAGAGAAAACAAAAAAAAAGAAACTTGAATTTTTTCGAAAAAAAAAGAAAAAGAAGGACCACCCACACAATAATAAATCCCATTATCCCCTCATCATATTTTCCCCCAATCCAATCAAAAAATGTGCAGCAAAAAAAGTTTCGGCTCTTTTCATGTACATATTCCCAAGTTTCTTCTTCTTCTCCTTTTTTTCTTTCTCTTTGTTATTTCCCTTTTTCTTCTATTGCCTAGGTTACGCCTGGAGCTCGCGGAGCTCTAGATTTCTTTTTTTTTCGCAATTCGGATTTCCTGTTTTCCTCCAAAAATGAGAACGTTTTTTATTCTTTTATTCTTTTCAGGTGAATATGAAAAGTAGCGTCGAATGATTTCACTGGCGAAAATTCTCATTCGACTCTTTTTTATTGTGGTGAGTTGCATTTTTTGTTTTTTCGAAACAATTGTTATAGACATGGAAGAACTGAAATTTAAAGGGGGACTCCGACCAAAATTTTTTATTGCATTAAAATGTTCGAAAAGTCTATTTTCCCAATATTATAGCGAAAAAATTCGAAAAAATCCTAAATCCCCGAAAAATGGCGTTAAAAGCGAAATTTGTTATAAAAAGTTGAGGGACGAGGATTTGAATTCCCGCGCAGTGAGAAACCTAGGTCACGGCGCCTGATTAGGAAAATACATATTTTTGAAATATTTTAAGGCAATAAAAATTTTTAGTCGGAGCCCCCCTTTGAAAATTTTTTGATTTTAAACACATATTTTGAAACAGAGATTTTTAGAATCATTTTTGTTTTCAGAAGTTTCTCGGATTGACCATTTTCGGGAAAAAAACAATTTAAAGTAAATAGTTTGATTACGCTGTAGAAAGTAACCGCCTACTAGTGTTGAAAAAAGTTAACCCCAAAATTTAGGGGCTTTCTAAAACAGTGATTTTTTTTGAAAATTGAAATTTGCTGTTTCAGATTTTTAAAAAATTTTGAGTGAATGTTTCTTCTTCAATGGCCCAATTTATTTCGTTAATTATATTATTCTGGCACACAAAAATCGGAGCTGTGGGAGAGAAACGCCTGGAACCAAAAGTCCCACAACGATAACTGCCGTAACCTAAAGTTTTTTTTTATTTTCCGAATTGATTTTCTCGTTTTTCACTGTTTTTTACAGATTTTTGACATCGAAAAATTGGTTGAAAACGCACGATAATCGAGATGATGAATCCTTAACATACTTTTTTAGGTTGCGGTAGTTGTCATTTTTTTGTCATTTCTTTGTTTATTTTTTTCATCAGAATAGTAATAATTTGAATTCATATTTCGAATATGTTCACAAGATTAAAATAGTACCGTAGCGTTAAAAATAAATTAACACCAGATTTAGGGTTTTTTTTCTGAAACAGTGTTTTTCTGTATACTTAAATTTGCTGTTTCAAATTTTTATGACCTTTTGAGGGAATTTATTTTTCTTGTTTTCTCGTTAAATATATTATTCTGCTACAAATAAGATGGTTTCTGTGCAAGAAAAACGCAGTTGGCCTTGGTCGACGGTTCCACCACGACAACTACAGTAACCTAAATAACCTTTTATTTCCAGGATTTATTTTCTCGTTTTTCACTGCTCTCCGTCAAGTTTTGATATTGAAAATTTGATTGAAAACGCACGAAAAAATCCGGAACGTAGGCATATTGTTAGGTTACGGTAGTTTTCGTGGCGGGACCTTCGGCCACGGCCACCCGCGTTTCTCTTCCACACCTCCGATTTTTTGTACCAGATTAATAATAATTTTAATTCATATTTCGAATATGTTCACACGATGAAAATACCGTAAAAACTCTATTAGATAGCCACCCCTAATTGAATGCCAGCCTCTAATATAGTGCCACTGCGGATTTGATATCACTGTGATAAAAGTTAAAGAATAACACAAAGTATCATTTTCTGGTTTTCTAGTTTTTTAAAGCTTAAAAGAGGTACTGTATTTGTAAAAAATGTGTCAGGACACGGTGAATAATTCGCGAAAAGCGCACAGCTGGTGACTGATGACGAGTTTCTCGTGTATCGACAAAAGAACCGAAATTTAAAAATTTCAAATGGACTCAATTTGATCGTGAACCGACCTATTGAGGGATTGGAGACTCTAGACATCACTTTTTACCCTCAATTCTTCCCCTTCTAGGTCATTCCACGCCAATCCACGCCAAAAGTTTCCCGCCATAAATAACACGCCGAATAAACAAGCAAACTATTTTGGAAAAAATGAAAATTTTCACACAGATCTACAGTAATCTGACTAATCTGGCTGCTTCAAAACCCTTCTCTTCCGTCAATTTTGAGAAAATATACGATCAGTGGTATTTTGATAGTTCCCCAAAAACCTTGAAAAATTGATTTTTCAGTTGATTTTCTTAAAAATGTTTCTCCTCGTTCATTTCTCAACCAAGTCTGACGTTTTCAAGCTCATTTTGTGTGTTTTCCTCGCCTTTATAATTGTTACTCATTTTGAAATCAAAATTTTTGACCTAGAATTTGTAAATGCCGAAAAAGCTAATTTTCCACTGTATCGAGAAAAGCGCCAAGAAATCAGAAAAAAAAATCAAATTTCGCAAATTATTCACCGTGCAGGAGAATATCAAATTCCGAAAGTTTCTAAAAAATAAGTAGAAAAATCAAGAAAACCTCGGAACTCATTTTATGAAAGAATTGAAAATCGAGCACTTTTTTGATAAGTTTCAGTAGAAACTAGCTCCGAACAATAAAGTGCCAGCCTCTAATTGAATGCCACCCCCTAATACAATGCCACCCCAGACCACCTCCGAACAATACAGTGCCATGGCTATCTAATAGAGTTTTTACTATAGCTCCGTAGTGACCAAAAAGAGTTAACCCTAAATTTAGCTTTTTTTCTGAAACAGTGTTTTTTTTTGAAAAAGGAAATTTGCTGTTTCAGTTTTTTTCAACTTTTAAGTGAATGTAGTTTTTTCGTTAAATATTTTGTTCTGGTCAACAAATCAGAGATGTGGAAGAGAACCACTGGGGGATTTGGTTTTTTAGAATCCATCCCCCCAACGGCAACTACCGTAAATAAATATTTTTATTTTCCCAGTTGATCTTTTTTGTCGAGTTTTGATACTGAAAAAAATTGACTTGAAACGCGCGAAAATCGATATAAAAAATTCTGAAACAGTTTTCTAGGTTACTATAGTTGTCGTTGTGGGAACCTCGGCCAGTTTTTGTATCAGCAAAATAATAGTTGAAGAAAATATTTTGAATGTATTAGATCATAGTGTTCAAAAAATACCGTAGTGTTCAAGAAAGTTAACCCTAAATTTAGGGGTTTTCTGAAACAGTGATTTTTTTGAAAATTGAAATTTGCTGTTTCAAATTTTTAAAACTTTTTGATTTAATGTAATTTTAATAGTGTTAATTCGTTTGCCCCTTTCTTAGAGTTTTGTCATATAGGGTAAAAATTGGAGCTGTGAAAGAGAAACGCATCTGAACAAAGGTCCCACAGTGAAAACTACCGTAACCTGAAAATATTTTATTTCCGAATTTTTATTCCGTTTTTTACTTCAATTTTTTCGAGTTTTGATACTGAAAAAAATGACTTGAAACACGCAAAAATCGAGAGAAAAAATTCTGAAAAAATTTTCTAGGTTACTGTAGTTGTCGTTGTGGGATCTTCGGCCACGACCACCGGCGTTTCCCTCCAACAGTTCGGATTATTTTTTGTGCCAGAATAATAATAATTTAAAGTCAATATTTTTGAAAACGATATCATATTGCTTTAAAAAACCAACCGCAAACTTATAGTTTTTTCTTGAAACAGTTTTCTTTTGCAGACTTAAATTTACTGTTTCTAATTTTTTGGACTTTTAGCAGGGCTGGGCGAGCAATCGGCTTTCGTGGGAAACGAAATGCAAAACACACGCATTTCGCGAAAAAAGTGGGCGGAGCCTCGGCACACACAAAGTATAGTGTACGGCGGAACCCGGGAAGTGTCGGCCGCTGCAAAGAATGACTACCCGGCGGCGCGTAGTGGAAAAATAAATAAAATTTCGAATTCCTAGACACGGGAATAACAAACCAATCTTCCTAGTTATTTATTCATCAGGAAATCGTCTCTTGTTTTGTTTTTTTAACACTTCTTGAAAATATTTCGCTATTCTAGGCGGAGGAAAACTTACGAAAAATATGAATTTTGAAACAGATATATTTTATTCGCTTCCCACAAAAAATTACCGTATACTTTGAGCTCAATTATTTCGATTCCTGGGAAAGATTTTAAAAATTGATCAACTGCAAAGTTATTGAAGATATTATGATAAGCAATTTATCAGTTTGCAAGTTTTTGGAATCTTTCACAGGAATCGAGATAACTGAACTCAAAGTTAACAGTTCTTATGTGCTCAATAAGATGGCATTCTGTTTTTGCAGTTCGCTCTTCTGAGCGGAGCACACTCAGAATTCGAAGCCGACGTGCGTTGGTCGTGTTCCGAAGACGTCGTTTCCGTATTCGTCCGAACCTCACAACCATTCGAAGGCATCGTTCAGACGGCTGGATCATCTTCTGAAGCATGTCGTGTTCAAGGATTCGGAACCAATGTGGCAGTTCTGAAATTGAATTTGAAATCAGAAGAATGCGGAATCAAATATGACTTTGGTACAAAAACGCACTCGGTGGTTGTTGATGTTCATTCCCATCCGGTTCTAATTGTCGAAGGAGACAAATCCGTGAACGTCACGTGTAGGGAGTTGGTCAACGGTACACAACACTATTCCAGTCAAATGTGAGTCTAGAAAATTGAAATATGGGGCCAGAATATACCAATACTGATTAACCGACCAATATTTTTTCTTTAAATACAATTATGTGAATAATTATTTTTGAAACAGTAATTTTTTTTGACAAAACTCAAGATTGATTAAAAAATCAAAAGTTTTCCTTTCTTTAAAGAATTTAAAGCCCCTAATTTTTATAAAAATCCAAATTAGCTCTAGGAAACTGAAAATCCAGGCAGCCAGACATGAGAGAAAGACCAATGTTAGACCAATATATGGACCTATTTATTGGCATACCAATAATTTTGAAGTACGATAATAAGAATACTTTTTTCTGTAACTGTAATTTTTGTTTTTAGCAAATTTCTAGATGTATCGAATTTTCAAAATTTTAGGAACCCACCAACACCGGATTACGAGCTGCGAGTCTTATCTAGCCGACTTCCAGTGGATACTGTCAAATACTCACAACCGTATACTTTGCAGGTAACATCAGAATTTTCCAGATTGCATACATTACCAGTTATCATATTTTGATTTCTTGGAAGTTGAAAATAGTTAAATTTGAAGCCCTTGCTCTGAAAAGTTCAAATTATACTAATTAGACAAATACCGTATTAGTTCAAATAGACGCCGACTCTAAACATGCACTTTGAGCTTAATTGTTTGGGTTCCTATGGGAGATATAAAAAATTGGGAGGTAAATGAGTTCAAAGTAAATCACTTTAAGTGATAGGGTAGTTCTTATAGAGCAAATACTCTGAAACTGATATTTTCAGACAACTTGAAAAGTTCTGGACTAGTTTATAAGGATTTCGAAGTCGAAAATGTTTCTTTCGAATCAAAATTTTTTTGTCTGGGTACTGTAGGATTTTTGTACAACTACTGCTACCAATAAACGAATTACATTTAAAAATTGGACACTTCTAAAAATCTAAATTTGAAACAGAAAACTTTTTTCCAGATCCGCCCATTCCCCAACCCATCTCACAACGCCTATTCCTTCTTTGTCGGTCAATGTACTGCCCAACCAGTCGGTGGAAATGTCACAGTGCAGCTGACAGATCCAGTGGGATGTGCACTTTTTAAATCCATTATGGGACACTTTGCCCGTCGAGAGTCTGTTGAAGAAGCTGAAATTCCATCAATGTTCCGGTTTCCAAATGCAAAACAACTCAAAGTTTCATGTATCGTGACGGATTGTGATGGAAAGTGTGAAGCGAGAACATGCGATTCTGATGCATCTGCGTCGTCACTCCTGGAGAGAACAGCGGCTAGTACAGAATCTGAAGAATTTCAGAAAGTTTCTGTAATTGTTAATTTGGAAGAAGGGAGGGAGAAAGTGGAAGATCTAATGTTGCTTAACGATCAGGAGGTAGAGAGGGTGCGTCAGAGAGACGCAGAGACTCCGCCCCCAAATCTGATTGTGCAGAAGAATCGAGATGAAGTTGTGCAAAGTCAGTGTATCTCAGAGAACGAGTTCAATTTATTGTATTATTTGTGTATATTTTTGGCGGGTAAGGAATTTTTTGAATCCTGAAAAATCATGCCCAATTTTTCAGTGTGCTCTATTCTCGGCTTCACTATGAATATCGTTCTGGCCTTGATTCTCAAAAGACGATCCAAAAAATCAAGTGATAAACGAAAGCCGATTCCTGTTGAGCAACTTCAGATTCCCAAATCTACAGTGGCCCCGCCAGATTTTTGGATACATGAGGATGCTAAAGGTATTATTAATACTACCAGCCTGTTTGCCGCGCTTCTGGCGCTTCAAACAGCTGGCTGGTGCGCCTCCGGCGCGGTTCGACCTACTTTTCAATTCTTTTTTTTTTCAGATTCCCCAGAACCAGAGCCCAGCTATTATATCCCGAGACGAGACTCTTTCTCGTCGTATGCTTCGGTAAATTTGAATAAGTTCCAAAAATTAAGGTAATATGAATTTCCAGAAACCAAACCGTAGGATCATTCCGGTAGCATCAGAATACGGTATTCCAGCGTCCCGACGATCAGACGCGTCTTCGTCCGAGGATAGAAGTAGTAATGAGATTTATAGGTAAGGGATTTAGAAATGACCAATAACTAAATTTCTAGAGATTAATACATTTTTAATGAAAATTTTGAAACAGAGATTTTCGGAAAGCTTTTGTAGAAATCAATTTTGAAAAGTTCAGTTTACCGTTTCAAAAATTATCGGATTGCCTCTAAATGGTTTTGTTTTGCTGAGTGAATACTTATAAAAACTGTACTTTCTCTATTAGAATGTCACCCCTATACTTGCTTCATAAGATTTTTTATTTATTTCGGTTTTTGGAAGAGAACAGTTCGGAGTTTGGTTCGCAAATAAGAGTGTAACTACATTTCTAGAGCATTTGAAATTTTAATTGAGAACACTGAAACAGGGATTTTTTAAAAATTTGTAGAAAATCAAAAGTTTAGTTTACTGTTTCAAAATTTATCAAACTTCCTCGAAGTGTTTTTTATAGGATGTTATCGAATTTGGGTTCATAACAGGGCTATTTTTCATGGATTTTCGATCCAATGTAGGCCGATTTAAAGTCCCAATCAATAAATGTTGACCACTTCCAGAAGTCTTGAGCTCGGTTGTTCAGTTCTCGACCAGTTCGAAAATTTCTGAGGGTGTAAAACAGACCTAGACTTGCTTTCACAGAACAATTTGAAAATTCCTGGGTTTTCAGCTATTTGCCGATTTCTGAAAGAAAACCTTTTTAGTTCTTTTCGTTCTGAAAACGTTAAAACAGGTGTCTTTCTGAAATCAACAGATACCTGAAAACCTAGGAATTTTCTAAAAACTCTGTAAATGCACAATTTATCATCTATAGAGTGCGCTTTAATTACGGACACATAAATTGCGGGCTTGATATGATGCATACTTTGCGCACTAATTCAGTTTTTTTAAATACTTTTCTCATTCCTCTACTCACAATCAGTGCTAATATTCCTGCCAAATTATATGACATAACTTTCCGTCTGGAGTGAATAGTGGCTCATTTTCCAACCCTTGTTTCCGTCCTCAATTCAAGGTAACCGAAAATTTGATATACAAAACCAGTCAGTGTGGACCGCATGTTAGTGGATCGTATTGTCGAATAAGTTTTTCATATTCACACTGACATGGACTACCATTTGAAACTTCAGATACCATAGCTCTAGCCGTGAAAAACAGGATTTCCAAAAATTCAGACGAGAGGCATAAAAATCTAGCTGATACAGTTCATGAAACACAAGGAACTTGCAAAAAATTCTGTGAATGCAAAGTTTTCAATCTAAGTATGCTTTACGCCCTCTAAAATTTTCAAAGTGATCGGAAACTTCACAGCCGAACTTCAGACTCCTGAAAATGATCAAAATCACTAAAATCAACAGAATAGTACAATGTAGTAAATCTTATTGACCGGTACTGTACGGCCTTCTTTCGGCCAAAAAATCCATGAAAAGTAGCTGTTCTGTCCATCCTATTCCGGTTTAAGCAATAAAAAACTTTTTGAGGAATTTCGATAATTCGTGCAACGGTAAACTTTCTAAAGAATTTCTGAAAATCACTGCTTCAATATTTCTTCGAAATCTATTCTAATCCACAAATGTAGTTCGTTTAAACGAGTAACAAAATTTAAATCTTCCTTAAATATAAAGCGCTAGGCGCGTCTGTCCGTCCTCGTGTCAGTCTGTCAACTTTTGAAAAACTTGAAAAAGTAACATAAATTTACGTGAACCTTTAAGAATAATTGAGGAGAGGAGCCACAAATCAGTAAAAAACTAGATTGATTCGCGCCGAAGACCAGCTTGCTGGTAACAAATATATTTTTGAAAACTTCCCATTCCAGACGCCCCAACCAAATTGCAATGGCCCGTCCCGAAGCTCGTCACAGCAATTCCACATTTATGACGCATTCGACGACAATGGAAAGCGATATTGATAGCCAAGCATCGAATCAGGCAACATCTTATCATTAACAAGCCCTTAAAATCCTACACAAATTTTTCTGTTACCGGTAAACTCGTCTCTTCATTTTAAAAAATTTCTTTTCCTGTTCTTCTTCAGCAATTCGATCTGACTTTTCTTTTTTTTAAAATTTAATCTTTGACACTTTTCTTTGTTTGTATAAATAAACACATTTCGTCATTTTTATTTTTCGTATATTATATGTCAAAATATTTTGGTCTTTCAAAAGTTCTCATTTCGTTTCCATGGCAGCTGCAAACCAACACACGCCGTGAGAGAGAAAGCACTACACCGGATGATTAGAGTTTTCGGCCATTTCCTCTCCGCTTTAGCCCCTTTTCGTTTGGTTGTGATTCTGTTTTTGTGTGTTTCTCATTTGATATATAGAAGATTACACTTTTTGTTTACGATTCATCTATTTTCCGTCAACTCAGAATAATTATTTTCAGATGAACCGCCCTCTTGATAATATTCAACACAGACCAGACAGGTTCGATGCAACAACAGAAAATCGAGCAATGTTTGCTAGTTCTAGCGTGCCAAGAACTCAAATGATAAGACCAAGGGATCAAATGATTTGGACGACTGGGAACCATCCAGATAGTACGGTAACCAGGACAACCATAAACAGATCTACGTATCAAGGAGGCACTGGTGACAGATTCCAAGCTTCAAGACCAAAAGATGCAATTGATCGTCCTACTGAAGGTCTAGACTCAACCACCATCAACAGATCCACGTATCAAGGAGGCACTGGTGACAGATTCCAAGCTTCAAGACCAAAAGATGCAATTGATCGTCCTACTGAAGGTCTAGACTCCACCACCATCAACAGATCCACGTACCAAGGAGGCACTGGTGACAGATTCCAAGCTTCAAGACCAAAAGATGCAATTGATCGTCCTACTGAAGGTCTAGACTCCACCACCATCAACAGATCTACGTATCAAGGAGGCACTGGTGACAGATTCCAAGCTTCGAGACCAAAAGATGCAATTGATCGTCCTACTGAAGGACTAGACTCCACCACCATCAACAGATCTACGTATCAAGGAGGCACTGGTGACAGATTCCAAGCTTCAAGACCAAAAGATGCAATTGATCGTCCTACTGAAGGTCTAGACTCCACCACCATCAACAGATCTACGTATCAAGGAGGCACTGGTGACAGATTCCAAGCTTCAAGACCGAAAGATGCAATTGATCGTCCTACTGAAGGTCTCGACTCAACCACCATCAACAGATCCACGTATCAAGGAGGCACTGGTGACAGATTCCAAGCTTCAAGACCAAAAGATGCAATTGATCGTCCTACTGAAGGTCTAGACTCCACCACCATCAACAGATCCACGTATCAAGGAGGCACTGGTGACAGATTCCAAGCTTCAAGACCAAAAGATGCAATTGATCGTCCTACTGAAGGTCTAGACTCCACCACCATCAACAGATCTACGTATCAAGGAGGCACTGGTGACAGATTCCAAGCTTCAAGACCAAAAGATGCAATTGATCGTCCTACTGAAGGTCTAGACTCCACCACCATCAACAGATCCACGTATCAAGGAGGCACTGGTGACAGATTCCAAGCTTCAAGACCAAAAGATGCAATTGATCGTCCTACTGAAGGTCTAGACTCCACCACCATCAACAGATCTACGTATCAAGGAGGCACTGGTGACAGATTCCAAGCAACAAGACCAAAAGATGCAATTGATCGTCCTACTGAAGGTCTAGACTCCACCACCATCAACAGATCTACGTATCAAGGAGGCACTGGTGACAGATTCCAAGCTTCAAGACCAAAAGATGCAATTGATCGTCCTACTGAAGGACTAGACTCCACCACCATCAACAGATCTACGTATCAAGGAGGCACTGGTGCAGATTCCAAGTTTCAAGACCAAAAGATGAAATTGATCGTCCTACTGAAGGTCTAGACTCCACCACCATCAACAGATCTACGTATCAAGGAGGCACTGGTGACAGATTCCAAGCAACAAGACCAAAAGATGCAATTGATCGTCCTACTGAAGGTCTAGACTCCACCACCATCAACAGATCTACGTATCAAGGAGGCACTGGTGACAGATTCCAAGCTTCAAGACCAAAAGATGCAATTGATCGTCCTACTGAAGGTCTAGACTCCACCACCATCAACAGATCTACGTATCAAGGAGGCACTGGTGACAGATTCCAAGCTTCAAGACCAAAAGATGCAATTGATCGTCCTACTGAAGGTCTAGACTCCACCACCATCAACAGATCCACGTATCAAGGAGGCACTGGTGACAGATTCCAAGCTTCAAGACCAAAAGATGCAATTGATCGTCCTACTGAAGGTCTAGACTCCACCACCATCAACAGATCTACGTATCAAGGAGGCACTGGTGACAGATTCCAAGCTTCAAGACCAAAAGATGCAATTGATCGTCCTACTGAAGGTCTAGACTCCACCACCATCAACAGATCTACGTATCAAGGAGGCACTGGTGACAGATTCCAAGCTTCAAGACCAAAAGATGCAATTGATCGTCCTACTGAAGGTCTAGACTCCACCACCATCAACAGATCTACGTATCAAGGAGGCACTGGTGACAGATTCCAAGCTTCAAGACCAAAAGATGCAATTGATCGTCCTACTGAAGGTCTAGACTCCACCACCATCAACAGATCCACGTATCAAGGAGGCACTGGTGACAGATTCCAAGCTTCAAGACCAAAAGATGCAATTGATCGTCCTACTGAAGGTCTAGACTCCACCACCATCAACAGACCTACGTATCAAGGAGGCACTGGTGACAGATTCCAAGCTTCAAGACCAAAAGATGCAATTGATCGTCCTACTGAAGGACTAGACTCCACCACCATCAACAGATCTACGTATCAAGGAGGCACTGGTGACAGATTCCAAGCAACAAGACCAAAAGATGCAATTGATCGTCCTACTGAAGGTCTAGACTCCACCACCATCAACAGATCTACGTATCAAGGAGGCACTGGTGACAGATTCCAAGCAACAAGACCGAAAGATGCAATTGATCGTCCTACTGAAGGTCTAGACTCCACCACCATCAACAGATCCACGTATCAAGGAGGCACTGGTGACAGATTCCAAGCTTCAAGACCAAAAGATGCAATTGATCGTCCTACTGAAGGTCTAGACTCCACCACCATCAACAGATCTACGTATCAAGGAGGCACTGGTGACAGATTCCAAGCAACAAGACCGAAAGATGCAATTGATCGTCCTACTGAAGGA